AGTTCAATATATATAACACAAAGCTTTTTTGACTGTCCCAAACTAATAAGAAAAAATCTCAATTATATTGTTCTCTTTAATGGTAGTGGTATCTATGATGAGCTAGTTAACATTGTCCAACGATATACAAAAAAATGGTACAATGTTGTTAATATACTTGATAAAAATTTACAAGGTCGAGAATTTATTATTATTGATTTAACTAGAGCAAAAGAGGACTCTCTATATCTTCGTAAAGGTTGGGACCAAGTCCTGAAATTAGATGAATAGAGTGTAAGTTATTAATACATGGCATGCCTTTTTCGTACCGATAGTTATCAGTTTGAGGTCATACTTAAAAACATGTTCCATATCATATCCAGAACGAATATTGCTAGGTTTAGGTACTCTTTTATTATAAATATCATCTATTATTATTTTAACCATGTCACTAGGCATATTTAGTAAATTATATTATTTTTGTTGATTTATAGTGATTTATAGCGATTTGTAGCAGTTTGTAACAAGTATACTATAATAAATATCAAATTCATTTTTATTCGATTACAAGAATATCAGAAATTTATATAAGGTCAGTAAAAAACCAAGTTATGCGTTTTTAGTGGTCATCATTAAATTTTGTATTTTGCCGGTAAACCTTTTTTCGCGGGCTCAAGGTCTTAAATAAATCGATATATATATAAATATTGGGTTTGAAAACCGATTAAAAATAATTTATAATATAGCAATTATACTTACCGAGATAGCTTCGTCTTGAATTTTTAACTTTTCGTGATCGTGAGTCCGACTTTGAAGTTTTGGATCGTTTTTTATTCTGCTTAGTGTGTTTTTTTGATGCCCTGAGTTTATTATTATTCATGTGAACATTAATTTTGCTATCTGAATTATCCGGATCTGTATTGCGAAATAAAGTTCCGAATTTTCTATTTTGTTTGATTGACATTGCATGAATAAAAAAAACAACACTATGACGGATGCCTGCAATAACAGGAAGATTACCGTGGACTAAAATGTTCGATCTAAAAGCGATAGCCTGACCCTCTCTTGTATATATTATTAACTTTAACTCGGGAAACATCAATTGCCCACCTTTGAATATTCCAAGTGGGCATACCACACAAAGCGTATTTCAGTGGTCTTTTAAATCGCGATGAAATTGACTAATAACATTGAAGTTGATCGTGATTGTTGGAAAAGTGCCGAAAGACTTAGGAACATTTGGGCCAAGATCGAGCTTTGCCATTTTTGTATAAAGAGCTGAATAAGTTTTCTGTAAATAACTATTAACCGCATTAGATAGTGGTTGAAGCCCACTAATCAGCTCTCGAACACATTTCTAATGTTCTGAGCAATGGTTTCATGCTGTGTTTGCGGTTGTATAGGGCTCATTGTTATTGCCTGTGAAGGCTCCAAAATGCTTCACCAACCTCTTCTTAAATTCTTTAGATTTATGCAATTTATTATCTTTATTAAGGTTATG